CTGAGCCACTTGTGTGGGTTGTAGACTCCGTCTCATGCTACCACTAGAGTGAAAGCACCGCCAGCATTTTAAAAGTGATCAAAACATCAGCCCGGAAGCATAGGAACTGAGAAGTGGTCTGTGGTCGCCACCTGCAGAACCACTCCTTTATTGGGGGTGTCTTTCTAATTGCCTATAATTTCCACCTGTTGTCTATTCCACCTGCTGTCTATTTGATTGTCACTCAGTGTTGCTTCCTAAGTGGACAGTTTGATTTCACACTAGTGTGATTGGCTTGGAGTTACATTGTGTTGTTTAAGTGTTCCCTTTATTTTTTTGAGCAGTTTATATAGAGGGTGTACATATTATTGATGTCGTACTTGGCTAGCAGAACCTTTCCAAAGCTTCCTCTACCCAGCCCAAAGCAATGCTGGAAGTCCTGCATGCTGATAGGAAGCCGAATACATAGGTCGTCAGATGTTTAGGAATATATTCTATCAAGCTCATTTACTATTTTTTGCACGACAATATTTGCCTTTACCTCTTTAAGGTTATTGTGGAGTTTACCTAGTTTTTTAGGAATATGTCCAAAAATTCCAGTTTTATTTTTTTTAAATATGATGTAGCTTTAATTTCTTTCTGGATGTCCTTATTGATCTCAATACTTATCCATCAATCTCTGGCTGATCTACATGGTTAGGGTTGGCTTTTGATGACCCACCACTTTGTGCTGATGGGGTATCAGCTCCGATCATTTGTGGAGCAACTGTGATTAGAGACTCTTCTGCTTCTTGCAGGACAATTTTTGCCTTTTGCTCTTTAAGCTTATTGTGGAGTTTATCCAGTTTCTTCTGTGATATTTTCAGGAATATGTCCAAACATTCCAGGTGTTTTTTTTTTTATCTGATGTGGATTTCTGCATTTTTGTGGTCTCTTCTATAATGTTAATTTCTTTCTGAAAGTCATTATTGATCTGCTCCCTTATGCCATCAATCTCTAGCTGAGCTACACGGTTAGGTTTCTTTTGATGACCCACCATTTCTTGCCGATGGGATATCAGCTCAGATCATTTGCGGAGCAACCATGATTAGCTGAAGAGCCTTTGCCAGTTTTGGGAGAGTCGGTAGTCTTTGAAGCCTCTTCTGCTTATTGCATGACAATACATGCATTTTTCAAAAAAAGGATGGGGAGGCGGTAGGTCAGAATGGGTTATTTAATTGGTTAATATAAAAATCAGTTCATATAAAACATAAACTTAGATGTAATATCATTCCCTAACAGGTGTATGTGCCTGGTGGTGATACGACAGACGTGAATACAAAATCAACCCTACACTGAATCCTTGGGTCTGGAAAAGAACGCATAATTATATTTTGTACGTACCAGGAATTCTCTTGTGGCTTATCCAGGTCGATGGGTTCCCAGTATTACATAAATAGGAGGCTAAAGCACAGGTATATGGGCGGTGCAATCAACGATGTTGATAGGGAGGTGCACCTTGACGTTCTAGTCAAGTAACTCCGCGATCTGTTATCACGTTTCCATGGTGGGCCCCAATCCCAGAAAGAGTATCTATAATTTGACCCATCAGTATTGAATTGAATCCCCACTCTTGTCCAGATAAGACAGGATTGCTATAGTGAAGCACCTATGCCTGTTGAGGTTGGTGTGTGAGTCTGAGAGCCCCCCGGGTACCCATCCCACACTCCTGTCAAGTTAAAACCAATGAGCAATCAATATTATAAAAGTTTGCATTTATAAGAGAAAAATATATACAACCACTACTCCCCTCCCCTCACATACCCCCATCAGCTAGCAAGAACCTTTATCATATGGTGAACCGGTATGATATACTCTCTCCTACCTCCTAAATCAGCCCCAAGGTGCTCATAAGTCCCATTCCCTTCTCCCCCACCCGATAACTGGCCTGTTGAGTTAGCTCTACCAACCCCGGCAACAGTGAAGTGGCCCATTCCTGGAGACGCTCCAAACTTGATGGGTCTCCATCTCATTGGGTAGGTGTGTCAGTGAAGTTTTGGTGTAGCAAGTTACCTGTTTTTCTTGCTCCCCCTGTTTGGTCCCCAGCCAAACTGTCTTCACCCCAGTATCCCCTGCTTGCCATGCGTCGAGTGCGTGAAAGTAGGAGTTCCCTCTGCGGGTGGTGGTTGTACCCGGATCGTGTAATGGAGGGGAGCTTTGGTGAGAAGGCAGTGGAGGCATGCCCTTTGATGCACCTTCCGTGTTGAAAATAGGTGGCAACACCACCCTTCTAAGCCATCTTTGGGAAGAATCAGGGGTCCATCAAAATTTTCATTGGAGGTGGGAACTGCCAAATGGCATTCGTTTCAGGCGTTCAGAATGTCCTTCATTTTGAAAAATAAACTTTGCTGTTTAAGAAAACACAAAAAAACTATGTTTTACATTGCATAGTGGACCACAGCAGCACCCAGACCACTTAATCTTAAAGAAGTGGTCTGGGTTTAGTTAATAATTAGTAGTGTTAGTTCAGTATATATACAATTTACAAAATTATATTTTCACTGCACAGATAGTTTAGCCAATCAGGGAGCACTACCAGCATGCAACACTTCTGGACACTATATAATCCCACCCCTGCGACACCATCTTTGTGGAGAGTTTAGGAGCCACGTGTGAGAGTGCAGCATGTGAGCGATTTGTGTGTGAGCAAGTGATGACTGGTAGGAAGAGCAGTGTAGGGTCTCTTCCCCCAAGTATACCACTATCTGTGCTCTGCCTCTTAACACTAGTTCTGGTGGAGGAGCTAGTAGTGGTACTACCAGCAGCAACATGACTGCTACTAGTTTCCTCAGTCACTTTGCTTGAGGGGAGAATGTGAGGAGGATGTGAACGATCCATTATGGTTTCTTTTGTTATATTAAATTTGTATTTAAATTAAATCACAGAAAACTAAAAAAACACAATTAATCACTGCAGCAAATTCACAGTGCAGCAGACACACACCCTGGCAGTCTACCTGGCTTGCACAGCCACACTCACCCCCTTCCCCTCTTCAAAAAAAAAAAAATGCAGATGAAAAAACAGGCAAAACTCTCTCTCTCTCCTCCCCCTTGAACACACACTTAAAAGCAATGTGGCTCTCCAAGTTTGCAACAAGTAATTTTTCTGTCTCTTGTGCTATCACAACTAGTCTGGTCACATGAATACAAGCCAACACCCTGACAGCCTGATTTATATACTATCCCACCTCAATGACTGTGTGCCTTCATTGGCCAAGTGTAAGTGACAAAATAACCATTAAAGGGACACTATAGTCACCAGAACTACAGCTTATTATAGTTGTTCTGGTGTGTATAATCGCTCCCTTCAGGCATTTTCATGTAAACACTGCCTTTTCAGAGAAAGGGCAGTGTTTACAATGCCCCTAGGGACACCTCCAACTGTCCACTTAGATGGCCACTGGAGGGGCTTCTTGGCTCAGGGCTGCATAGTGCACAGCCCTGCCGTTCAGCGTCCCCACGCTCTGCATGGAGACGCTGAATTTTCCTCATAGTGATGCATTGATTCAATGGTGGGTTAAACACTATAGGGTCAGGAATACATGTTTGTGTTCCTGACCCTATAGTGATCCTTTAATTGGCTGTCCTTTAACATCAGTCACAAAAATTTGCTAATTCCATTGGACAGGGAATAGTGAATCCAGATTGGGCAAGCAAGCATTACATTGCACAAAAGGAATTAGCTTTTTGGTCGATTCCTGTCATCGTTCACATAATTTTTTCCTCCCTCTCTCTTGTTTTGCCACTTTATCTGAACTTTAGCGCTTCGGAACGAAACGAATTGCACGTCTACTTCTCTTTATTTTATTTGTTTTATTTTTTGTTTATTTTGTTTTTATTCAAGATTTTCAGAGATGATAATGGCATTAATTTAAATCAGTGATAAATACAACAGAGAAGTTACATAAATATGACAAGAATATATATCAAGCAAATTTATACAATAATCACATTGATATTGCCATGAAGTATTTTATTTTGGATGTATTGAGATACAGACAGTTATCTGTTAAATTTGTGGACATTCAGGTTGTACAGATTAAGAACGTGTTTCGCCCTGAGTGTGTCAAAGGGTGCATAAATCCGAAACATCGCCTGGAGGGTGAACGCATGCTTAGCCAGATGACCATAGTGAGCGATGTGTACATTCATGGTAGTAGTTTGGTCAGGGCTTGGTTTTGGTAGAGTGGTTGACATCTAGTGTCTGTACCCCATTGTATTATTGTGCCATTACACGTCATATTCATCTTCTGACCTATTCTGGGTGGGGAGGTTAAAATTCGGGTAGTGTAGAGGAGAAGAGTGGGGGGAGGAGGGGATATGGTACCTTATTTCTATGTTTATAGGCATTATAGCCTTTACCGTGGTTACTTCTTGTGAACTTTATTCTGGCAATTTTGTGTTTTTTTCCCCTTGTTTAGAGTCGATATGTATGTCTCTTTATGTTGGTTCAAATGTATGAAGTGTCGTGTGTACTGATTGTGTGTTTTTTATTTGTCAGGTATCGGTTGTCCTATATGTACTCATTTCTCTTTTTCTATCCCCCAGGGGAGAGAGAGGGAGTGTCAATAGTGTAGGCATTGTTAGGGCAAGGTGTCTGCTCGGTTCAACTTGTTAGGCGCTTAAGATGTGATATCCAGGGTTCCCATATTATGTAGTAATGTGTGTATTGGTTTGTGAGTAAGTGGTCTCCTCCATCTGTCTTATCTGTTCTACTTGGGCATACCACTCTTGTTTGGCAGGTGCCACTTCCTGCCTCCAATATTTGGGGATCAGAGCTTTGGCAGCTGTTAATAAGTAGTATTCAAGTAATATATATGGTAATGTTTCAATGGCTTTGGGGACAGGTGGAGAAATATTTCTTCGAAGGTTTTGTTGTTCTGGTATTTGACCTATCTGATGTTTTCTTTTAGGTCCCCTGACAAGTAGTCTTTCAGCTCGTCACATTCACACGATACGTGTTTACATGTGCCTTTTGTTCTTTTACATCTCCAACATGTGTCGGTCACTGATAGGTATATGTGGTGTGGTGTCTGCCATGGTAATGTCGCCAGTGGAAGCTGTACCCATTCCTGTTCCAGGGTTTGGGTTACTCCAGTCTATGATTATGGTAAATTGTGTTGCTAAATAGTACTTGTATGGTTCCGATACACCCAGTCCTCCGTTGGTTTTTGGTCTGGTGAGTGTGGTGAATGCAATTCTGGATCTGTTACCGCTCCACACAATGTTCATCAGAGTTTTCTGTAAGGTTTTGAAATATGATTGGGGAACTCTCACTGGCACTGTTTGAAAGAGGTATAACAGGCGGGGTGGGGTGGGGGGGATATTGATTTTAATTATATTTATTCTTCCTATCCAGGAGAAGTGTGGTTTGTTCCATTTCTTTAGGTCTCTGGTTAGTGTGTGCAGTAGCGGGGTGTTGTTGGAGTCAAAGAGGTCCTGTACCTTCAGGGTTATTTTGGTGCCTAAATATTTTATGTGGGAGGTGGTTATTTTAAAGGGAAAAGTTGTCTTGATTAGGTTTGTTGCGGTATTTGACGTTGCTATTGGCAGGATCTCGCATTTTTCATAATTTACTTTAAAGTACGAGAGTTTAGAATAGATGGACAGCTCCTCCATTAGAGCTGGGAGAGAGGTCTCAGGACTAGTGAGGGTGAATAATAGGTCATCCGCATATGCCAGTGTGGCTGTGAATGCCGGTAATTGCTGGGTTGGACCTTATTGCATTTAAGAATTGCCCCAGGGGCAGGATGAACAATAATGGGGAAAGGGGGCATCCCTGTCTTGTGCCATTCAGTATTGGTAGAGGGTTGGATTTAGTTGATTTGTACCCTGGCCTGGGGGCGCGAGTATAATGCCCGTACCCACGTCCGCCACCGATCTCCAAGGTCCATCTCCCTCATAATGTTGAATAGTAGGGACCAGTCCACCCTGTCAAAAGCCTTCTCCGCGTCAATACTTAGTAGTAAAGTGGGTGTATTCTATATGTGGGATTTGTGGATGATATTTATTATTTTGATAGTGTTATCTTTGGCTTTTCTATGTGGTGTGAACCCTGCCTGATCAGGGCGGACTAGTCCCGGAGGTGCTGTTTGAGTCGGTTTGTTAGCATGCGGGAGAATATTTTGACATCATTGTTAGAGAGTTTGGTAGCTGCCGCACAGGGCATGATCTTTGTCTGGTTTGGGGATTAAGGTTATAGTGGCCTCTAACGCCACTGGGTTAAAAGTGGTACCTTGGTTAATTGAGTGATTCCCTAATTGCGGAGAGGAGAGTTTATAATATTTGTTGGAATAGGTTAATTGAGTGATTCCCTAATTGCGGAGAGGAGAGTTTATAATATTTGTTGGAATAGGCGTCTGGGCCTGGGCTTTTACCATTGGGTGCTTCTTTGATTGCTTTCAGCAGCTCTCCCAGCGTGAAAGGGGCATTAAGTTCTTCCCTTGTTTCTGGGTCTAGTTTGCGTATTATGTTTTATATGTTACAATGTTTGTGCTATGTTTTCAGTGAGCATATGCAATTTACCGTGTGAGTCTTTGATCCTGGGTATGTATGATTTGTGGAGTCTTTGTTGTAGTGCACATGCAAGAAGTCTTTAGTTTTTGTTACCGTGGGTGTAGAAGGTATGTTGGGTGAGTAGCATTGCTCTCTCAGCCTTATGGTTAAAGAGATGCGCTAGTTGTTCTCTTTTAAGTCTGAGTGTCTATTGGCTTTATGTTAGGTCTTAAATGTCTTTGAGTAGAGAGGTTATTTGTTTGCTTCTTTCTTTTTTGAGTCTTGATCCTATTTGAATGAGTACCTCTTATTACACATTTGTGTGCGTCCCATGTGGTAAGTGGGGAAGTGTCCGATGAGGGGTTGTCGTGGAAGTAGTTTGGTATTGCTTCTTGTATTTCTCTTAACACCAGTTGGTCGTCTAGGAGAGAGTCATTGATTTTCCAGTCCCATGTCCCTGACGGAAAAGTTGGGAAGGTTATGAATGCATGTACTGAGGCATGATCTGTCCATAATTTTTGTACGAGGTGTGTGAATATTGTGTCCAACCTGGAGTATGAGTAAAAGGTGTAGTCGTTTGCTGTAGGGGGTTGACCAATCTCCAACAATCTACCAGTTGATTAGTGTGTATGGTATGCATCCAGATTTTCTTCTGACAGTAGCTAGAGTGTGGCTGATATTTGGAGAGATCTAGGTGTACATTAAGGTTGCCTCCACATATCAGGAGGCCTGCTGCGAAGGCATTCAGTTTTGAGAGAGTGCATTTGAGAAATGTTCGCTGCTTATTTTTTGGGCTGTATAGGTTTGCGAAGGTGTGTATTTGGGTCCCTATCGATCCTTTTGATAAATATAAACCTTCCTTGTGTATCTATAAGTTGGTCTATTAGCTGAAATGGTATTTGTCCTGCAAAGAGGATTGCCTACCCCCCTTGCCTTGCCTTCAGTGTAATTGCTGAAGTGCCCCTAGGAGTATCTGCGATCCCGGATGGTCAGCACCAAGCACTGCTTGAAGTGGGTCTTCTGTAGGACGTCAATGTATGCACCCATTCTCTTAAGGTCTGTGAGGAGCAGGCGCCGCCTCTCCGGGTTATTCAACCCCCTGACATTCAGAGATACTATATGTGAAGACATGGTATATGATTAATGCTGCTTAGCATGATTGACATGAACCATTTTATATGATTATATCTTTGAAATGCCTGTGCGTCCAGAGTGCCATAGATAACAAAACATGAAGAATGACAGTTTAAACAAATAACCAAAAATATAATTAACTGTTGTAAAACGTGTAGAAGTTGCTTGTCACATGAGCAGGTGATTCCAGCTGGAATCATAGCGTTGGAGATTCGTGTGATCCCTAACGGAAGGGGCCATATGTCCTGAGATCCTATGATCAGTTTTGTGTGACACGGCTCCCGGGGGGTGGTTGTGGTCTTATCTGTGTTAAGAAAGGTTAAAAACTGTGCTTGTAAGCTCCGCGGGCGAGTGGATGTTTAGTGGGCCATTATGGTCCTGTGAGTGCATCGCAAATAGCTTAGTTCCATTAATAGGGGAATAAGAGTGGGGTCAATATGCTAGTGGTCCTCCTTGTGTCCCTTCCCTTATGTTATAAGGATGGAGAAGGGGGATAATGTAGAGGTCTTATGACTGCTTCATACCCCTGGTTCTGTGTTACCATGTTTTGTGCAGTTTTTTAGCTGCACCATGTTTTCGGTCTAGACATTAAGAGTTCTAGTTAATATTGGTAACTTAAGAATCATTAGTGTGTACATAGTAAATTGTAGGCTTTTCAGTGTACATTACAGTTGCATTATTCTATGTTATACATTACATGCCCGTTGTCACCGATGTATTCCGTTATGAGCTGTGCATGTGGTTTAAGTCCAGTCCACTTGTTCAGCGGTTTGCTCCTGCATTGTGTTGGAGAGCTGTGCCAATGAAGTCTTGCGTTTTCTGGGCCCAGTCATATCCCTGTGGGGTTGCGGTGGTTCCTCGTACCAGTCCGGTTTCTGTACGTCTATTATTCCCAAGGCCTGTATGAAATTGGTTACATCCTCCGCTGTGTGGATCGTGGCTGTGTTTCCGCTTGCCGCGGCCGTTAAGCTGAAGGGGAATTCCCATCTGTATTTATATTGTCTCTCCCGTAGTTGGTGGGTGACCGGTGCTAGGGCTCTTCTTCCCTGTATAGTGATCCAAGAAAGGTCCTGGAACAATTGGATCGGACGCTCCAGGTACCGGATTGCAGGTGTAGATCTAGCCTGTTTCATTATTTCCTCTTTCAATGGGGAGTCTTGCAAGCAGCAGATAACCGGGGGGCATCCTCAGGTCTGCCTTTGGGTCTGAGGGCCCTGTGCGTTTTGTTAAATTTGATTATTGAATAGTTCTGTTAAGATCTTTGTGAGATTTTCAGGGTGTTGGCTCGACTCCGGTAGGCCTCTGATCCGGATGTTATGCGGAGTTCCTCTAGATATCGATGCATAGCAGTGAGTTTGAGGATGAATTGTGAGATTTGTCTCGTGGTAGTGTTTAGGCGGGTATTTTGCTCATCGACCGTGGTCTCGACCTGCTGAACTCTGGAATCTAGTGAGTTTAGGATTGTTCCTAGTTCTGAGAGTTTGGTTTGTATTGATTAATCCAGCATATGTGCTATGTTATCCTTTGATGGTAAGTTCACCAGTATTTCCCATTCCTCTGGCATGCCGTGGCTGTTTTGAGAAGCTGTCGGTGATGGCGCTCTCAGAGCTATGTTTGATCTGAAGGCCTCAGAGTCTCCGTCGCCTTTTTCTGGAAAGTATTTTGTTAATGGTTGAAATCTGGACCCTGTTGCGTTCTTGTGGTCTTTACGCTGTGCTGAATCTCTTTTTTTGTTGCCCATTGTGTGGGATGGTTGCGATTTTTAGATTTAACTCGCCCGTTTGTGGAGCCAGAGACTCAAACGTCCGTTCTCATTACTTGCCGGACACGCCCCCCTCACATGTCTACTTCTTAACGTCTTCTGCATCTCTCTCGCTGGCTTCTAGTTGTGTCTTTTCATTTTTAGTCAGAAGCTGTCCTATTATAGAAGTGACGTTTCTGGACAGGGAGTGTGTGTATTTGAATTTTCAACTGATTATGTTAGCAGTCAATTTGTCTTTATTATGGATTTTGAAGGGGTACTTTCCAGACAGACTGGATCCGCAATGGTTCTTGGTTGTGTCTCTGAATCCTAATCCTTCTTTACCAAGACTAAAGACTGTGTAATTATTGCAAACCCTTTCTCATCTAGAACTATATTTTCTAAGGTCTCTGTTGCAGAGCTGCAATTTTATAATCCCAGGATCTCTGCTGGTAGAATGCAATAACCAAGTACAAAGCTGGAAGCAGGCAATATTCCCAAATCCTCCCAAGAACCAGACGAAACACAGTCTGAGAGTCAACTGCCACTTTATTCAAAAAGACTGATATTTAAAGTAGGTCACTCAACTGTCACTTTATTAAAAATAACTGATATTTAAAGCAGGTCACTCAACAGGGGTTTCCAAAGATGGGCAGCAGGGGTTTTGGTTGAGGGGACTGGAGGGAGACTACCGTTTCCAGGTCCTCCTCCCAACAGCCCCTGCTGTAACATACAGTAATGAAAACTACGAGGACATAAACCGTTACCTTTCTACTTCAAAATATACAACTTAGTCAGTTTTAATAGCAATGCTAACGAATGGGGAGGATTCGAACAGACATACACAGTACAGCATAAATTAAACATAGCCGGAGACGCCACACTATACCGGCGCGCAGTACACAACAGAAAATAGGCACAACCATTCTATCTTAGGCAGTCCCAAGTGGCTAGGTTTGCCACAGTCTCTATTGATCTTGTGTTCTTGTAAAACCTCCACTCCCTGGACGACACACACAGAATAAAACCAAGCTCTCTGTTCTGGAAATGGATGCTGGTTGTTGTCGATGTTTGTACGTAGGTTGTCTCCAGCATCATACTCAATTATTGTTAGGATTTGACCAGCATCATATTCCATTACTGGCATGCTCTGCTTTGTGTAAACACCCAAGCAAGTTAACCAAAAATGGGTGCTGTCTGTTGCTCACAGTTTAAAATATGTGCTTTTAACACAGAATGCTTTGGGATAGACTTAGTGATACCATAATATATATACAGGGCGTATATATTATTGATATTGTACTTGGCTAGCAGAACCTTTCCAAAGCTTCCTCTACCCAGCCCAGAGCTAAGCTGGAAGTCCTGCATGCTGAGAGGAAGCGGAACACATATGTTCCTCAGATGTTTTGGAATATATTCTATCAAGCTCATTTACTATTTTTTTTTCTGCGTCTTGCATGACAATTTGTGCCTTTAGCTCTTTAAACTTATTGTGGCGTATATCCCGTTGTTTTTCAGGAATATGTCCAAATTTAATCTGATGTGGCTTTCTGCATGTTTTTTGGGAGGGAGGGTGGAGCTCCTTCGATCATGTTCATTTCTTTCTGGATGTCCTAATTGATTTGCCTACTTATCCATCAATCTCTGGCTGATCTACATGGTTAGGGTTGCTTTTGATCACCTTCCATTTTTTTGAAGATGGGATATCACTTTTAGGAGAGCTCAGATCTGCGGAGCAACCATCACTAGCTGAGGAGCCATTGCCAGTTTTGAGTATCCCTTTAAATTTCAGAGGCATATTTGTCAGAGACTACTCTAGATACACATATGCATCTGACTATTATCCTCCTTACCTGATTATGGATTTTTGTTGAATGGCCTTCCTGATACCGATTTGTATTTATTCTAGGTTGTGTAATGGATTGTAATAGTGGTCCAGATGAAAGGTTGTGATTGATTTTATTTATTTATTTATTTATTTTTTTTTTCAGCACCCATCCCTGATTGGTGCGACTCAAGTACTTTATCTTTTAAATAACTTAACTCCTTGTTATTCATGATGTATTGTATTTAGGAATGCTCTCTAAACACCTACCTGGCCTTCCATAAAGTAACTAACAAATATAATGCCAAAGTGTGAGAAGTTGCAATAGTGAAAATATACAAAAGTAGCACTTAACTTTAGGCAACAGACAACAGCCTCTCTAGGACTTTACCTAAAAACGACCTATACCACAGATATAAAGCCACAAAGAAAACAATTCGGGATACGGCTGGGTAGATCTACAAAAGGACATAAAACAAAATATAGTGTGATACTGTAAAAACACAAAATTGTGTGCAGCAATGTATACACTCAGATGTAGACAGGTATAAGCATTCTTAGGGTGCCTCCAATTATATCAATTGCCACACTGACTTTGTGGTATATTTATCACAGATTATTAGAACATATTGACAATATTAAAAAGATTGATGACGCATTCTGTTCCAGCCCACTGTATATCATGTCCTTCCTTTTCTTTTAGGGACTTTAGGTGTCTTGGGATCGAGAGGGTCCCACCTTTTTGGCGTGGGGGCAATAGAATTCAGAGACTAGCCCAGAGGGAAACTTTTTGGATCCATAAACTCCAGACCCTTACACCTAGGGGTTTGAACATAGACGTTAATTATTTTTTTTTTTCTGTTTAATGTCCCTTATTTAGGACCCAGAATTGATATAGATATATATAGATATACACACACATCTATAGGAGATAGATATGTGTGCTTGCTTAAATTGAGTTTTTTCTACACTTAGGGAAGAGATTTGTAACTTTATATAGGGATGTTTGTATACATGTACACTACAACAATAAGCAGCTGTTTCTTATTTTTATTTTGTCTGTTTTAGTTGTATGTTCAGTCAAAGGGTTAATACTCCTTATTGTAATATGAGTTTTCATTTTCACTATATCTAGATGTATAATAAGTCAGTATAGATTCCGTATGAATAACACCTGTTTCTCTAGTAGAGCCTCTGAACTTCGATTATTCCTGACTTACATTGCATGGACTGCTGCTAAAGTTGTTGCGTCCAGTTGCCGTGGTGACGAACGGCTGCTGGAACGTGGAAGTCATCTGCGACCTAATTTCCGGTTTCGGCTATGTTGGCCACTTCTGGTTTTCGCGGAGAAGGGCACCAATTTCATTGATCAGAGGAGTCAGAAACAGCTGATGAAGGAGGATTTTCTCTCCAATCAAAATAGAAGAGGACTTAGACGCGACCAGATCCACTAATGGACTTGGGGATTAGCCCTAATTAAGGGAACGAGGGAGGACGGTTTTTTAGGATGTTTGTTTGTTACATGTATTGATACATTGTAATTGTTTTTATTGCGGTCCCTGAGGAAGTTCGTCCAGAATGAAACGCTTAGGACCTTTTTTCCGCTATATAGATCCTATGCTGAATGGTGACTGATTTATTTTTTATCGAATAAATTTCATTGTTTTTACCTTCACTCGTGGAAGCACTGTGTTGGATTGAGTATTTGGAGGCGATAAGAGGGATCTGCTGGCCCCCCACTACACCCTAAGAACGCTTATATCTGTTTACATCTAGTGAGTGTATACATTGCAGCGCACAATGTAGTGTTTTTACAGTATGACACTATATTTTGTTTTAAGTCCTTTTGTAGAGCTATCCAGCCGTATTACGAATTTTCTTTGTGGCTTTACTTCCATAAAGTGTAGTGTTTATTTTGAGTTCACATTTTAATTACTCACAATTGCACAAAATATTCAGTGTTATTTCTGAAGGCAATTGCTTGGACCTCAGCCTATTTAGAGGGGGCGAGTGCTTATTAGAATTCTACATGAAAAACATTTTTCTATTCTTTCTATCATTTGGTGAGTAAATTCTCTTCTTTTCAGTTTGACCAACCTTTGATCACATAATTCTTTTTGACCAAAATACAGTTCGCCTTTTGGTCATTTAATGACTTTAGGTTAACCATAAATCTCTATGGAAATTAATAAAAGTTTGTAAAGCTGGATTAATGCTAAAAGAAAAGCCAAAAAAAATTAAAAATATTACTTT